CCAAATGGGAGCTGCCGTTTTACATAAATGCATTTTTTTTATTTTAAATTTTAATTTTTAGATGAGCATACAGTAAAATTGTTTGTTCGGTTTCTTTTTTTTTCTGGTGTATAGGTCTATGGATTTTAACACAAGTACATATTTGTATAACCACCACCACAATCAGGATACAGAACATTTCTATCACTGCGGAAGTCCCCCTTAAAGTCCCATTTTCCTTCAACCTTACCCCCCCACCACCACTGATCTCTTCTTCATTACTGTTGTTTCGTCTCTTCAAGAATTTCATACAAATGGATCATACAGCATATACAGACGTATTTTTTGTACATGTGTTTTTTAACTAATTTATTGTTTTGTTTTCAAAGATTTTATTTATTTATTTCTAGCGAGATGGAGAGGGAGAAAGAGAGGGAGAGAAACTTCAGTGTGTGGCTGCTTCTCCTGGGCCTCCTGCTGGGGGCCTGGCCCACAACCCAGGCATTTTTTCAGTCCACTGAGTCACACCAGCCAGGGCTGTGCATGTATTTTTAACTTATGTAAATAGTGTTATTTTATAGCTCATTCTGATTGTAACTTTATTCTTCCAGCTTTGTTTAATTTTTTTTTTAATTTTCAAAGACAGTTCATTTAATATCTTCTAGAATGATATTAACTTGATTATAAACATTTGGCAAATACAATCTTTGGCCAAATTTTATAAATAAAGGTTATGTTTAAAATCTTTTTTTTTTTTTTCATTTTTATGGAATTTATTGGTGTGACACTGGTTATCAAAGTTTTACAGGTTTCAGGTGCACAGTTCTGCAACACAGCATCTGTACACTGTATTGCGTGTTCACCAGCCCAAGTCAGGTCTCCATCCATCACCATTTATCCCCCCATACCCTCCCCCACCTCCCCCCAATTATTTTTAAGTTTGACCTAACTTCAAAGGTATAGAAACGTGACTGGAATTATACAGAGAACTTCTGGATATCCTCTGGTTTCCCCTAAATTTCTCAAATGTTCACATTTGGCTGTATTTGCTATTTTGCTCTCTTCTTTCTTTCTCCGTACATGTGTATGTGTGATATCTTCTGAACCTTGCCCCTTTATCCCTAAATAGTCAGTATTTCCTAAAATAAAATCATTTAAAATATAATCACAGTGCAGTGATTTTCAGCACTTTTTAATCTCATGTCACACATAAACTAATAGCTAAAATTCTGTGACATACCAAAAAGTAGACTTTTTGCCAATCTGACAGAAAAATTGGTATGATTTTGATTCATCCACACCAGACAGCTATTGTGTTGGCCGTTGTCATTTTTTTATTTGACAGTCTAAGGGAAAAGAGGTCAGCGTACCTGACTACATAGTCATGTATTGCATGTTTTTATTTATTTATATAAATTTTTATTATTGAGATTAGAGAGAGAGAGAGAGAGAGGAAGAAAGATAGAAACATCAGTTTGTCATTCCACTCATTTATGCATCCATTGGTTGATGCTTGCATGTACCCTGACCCAGGATCGAACCTGCAGCCTCGGTGTATCGGGACAATGCTCTAACCAACCGAGCTCCCCAGCCAGGGCCAGGTTTTGCGTGTTTTAAAAATTCTTGTATCACACTGGTTGAAAATCACTGCCATGGTGTAATGATCAACATCAGGAAAACAACCTTGAAAAATTCCCGTCTCACTTATAGACCTTAGGAGGATTTGTTAGTTGTCCCAAGACTGTCCTTGTCAAAGACGATGCACTGTATTCAGTTGTTGTGTCTTTCTAGTCTCTTAATCTGGAACAATGCCCGAGTCTTTCTTTGTACTACACAGCACTACATTGCTGAAGAGTGCATGCCAGTTACTTTGTGGAAAGGCCCTCGGTTTGGGCCCATCTGGTGTTCCCTTGGGATGGGACTGTGCGCCTTTCACAGGAGTACCACGCGAGCAGTGCTGACTTGTCCATGCACCGTGTCTGGAGGCACATGCTGTTAACTCGGTCCTTACCGGCCACATGGACTTTGATCACTTCATTATGGTGGCATCTGCCACTTCTCCATTATGAAGCTACTGGTACTATTTTACCATTTTTAATTAAAACGTATATTATGGCCTTGAGCAGCAATAAAAATAGTAATAATTTTTTAAAAAGTATACTAAAAGGTTATGTAAATATCCTGTTATTTTTTGGTATTTAGCATCTATTGATGATTCTTGCCTGAATCAGTTATTATGGTTTTTGGTGATCTAATTGCATTGTCATTCCTTCTAGGTTTATTAGTTGGCATTTTTATGTAAGGAAGAGCTTTCCCTTCACCCCTGTTAATTCGGTGCAGACTTATGGATCCTTATTTTATTCAGTAGCTCATAATTCTTTACTAGGATTATTTATTTTGATGCTCAGATTGTCCCAGATTTGGCCAGTTAGATCCTCTTCAGGTTAACTCCTGTGTCCTTTTAAAATATTTGAGGACTTCCTTCCTGTTAGATACAGCAAGATGGTCCAGGTTCCTCTTGCTCGGTCCCTGACTGAGCCCTGGAATCAGCCATTTCTCTGAGCGGCTCTGATTGTTTTTAATAGAACATGGTATTTAGAAACCAAGAATGGGCTCCAGGTGCTCACCTTGTTTTTAAGAGCCATTCGCGTTGCTGTGTGTGCATCTAGTGTCCATGGTGTTCATACCAATTTTCTTTCTCCCTTTCGTAATGATAGACCCCCGCACTGCCTCCACAAGTGCTGCTGTAAGGGACAGACTTCCGGAGCAGGTCCTCTGTGAACCTGTGTGTGTATTTATGTTGATCTGGGAGTGCTGGCTACCACCCCTGAATTCAGCCCCTGTTCACATTTCCTCCAGTGGAGCGTGAGTGTCTCTGCACCTCCACAAATACTTGGCATAACCAGCTTCTTAATTTTTGCCAAATGAATAAATGTGCTGGGAAAGCTCTTGTTTTAACTTGCTTTTCTCTAATTACAAATAACGTCTTCATACGCCTGACGGCCTTTGGGATTCCTCTCTCGTAAGTAGCTTATTCATAATAATCCTCTAGCTGTTTGGTTTTTTTCATCGAGGTTCTTACACTTTTCTTGTTGATATGCAGGACTTTTTAATACATTCTGGATGCTCATCCCTTGCTGGTCGCAGGCATCGCAGATATATTCTCTGAGTCCGTCATCTGTCTGTTCACATTGCCCATGCTGTCTTCTGTTAGAACACGACCCTTTTTCTTTGTTCTGTGCGGTCTCACCGGCACTTCTCTTTTTCTGTAACTGCGTCAATACCCTAAGTTCCTCTATCAGGGGTGTCCATCCTGTGGCTGCAGTAAATTTACCCTAAGTAACTTAACACAAAATGGTAAATTTACTTAAAACACGATGAGATTTTTTTGTTTTCGTTAGTGTTTGTGTATTTAATGTGTGGCCCAGGACAGCTCTTCTTCTTCCAGTGTGGCCCAGACACGCCCAAAGGCAGGACCCTCTGCTACATTTTAGGTGTCGTGGTGTAGCCTCACTCCGCTGATTGTCCTCAGCAGACAGTCGAGCTTTATGACCCTTTAGCCTCTGTTGAATTCTATTGAGAATGACTTTGCCTCTTGGAGTGTAAGGCCCACATACAAGTTTTTTTTTTTTTAAGATTTTAGTTATTTATTTTTAGAGAAAGGGAGGGAGAAACAGGGAGAGAAACATCAGCGTGGTTGCCTCCTGTGCGCCCCTGACCGGGACGTGCCCTAGTAATCAAACCAGTGACCCTGTGGTTCTCGGGACGAGCCACGCCAGGCAGAGCCCTATATGCAAATATTATTCATATATTCAGCAAATATATGCTATAGGTCTATTGGGTTAAGTACTGTGCTGTCACTGACAAGGTTCAAAGGTTATGAAACTCGCCCGTGACTGTTCAGAAGTGGCACGGGGATTTGAACCCTGGTCTGTGACCTGTTCCTACCATGCTGCTTCCCATGAAAATTGCATTTGCTTCCTGTAGAGCTGTGTGTCAAATTTCTATATTTTTTCTAACAAATGACTTAAGAATGTGCAGAGCAAAGTGTTCTCATACCAGAGGAGGGGGAAGTAATCAGAAGAGGAATGGATAAAGGTGCCTCCTGCCACCCTGGCCCTGGGCTGCCTGTTGCTGACTGTCTCCGGGGTGATAGTGGAGCCTCAGAGGAGGCTGGGGACCGCCTCAGCTCAGAGGGGTCGGTCTTAAAATAAAATACCGGACTCTGTCATTCTGATCCTCTCCAAGAAGTTCAAATCATTCCTCCCAGAAGTGCTGTAGTTCTAAGAGGAGAGAGATGCAGCAGGATCTTCCTAGGGCTGACGTGGCGTGTCCAAGTTGTCCTCGCTAGCTGTTCCTGGTAGTGCTCACATCACCGCGGGCAGGCGCAATTTCCACAGATTCTAGCAGAGGGAGGGAGGGAGGGAGAGAGGGAGGAAAAACAGCTGGATGAGGAGGGGAAAAATCTGTGTTTAGGTCAGGACCAAACAAAGCAGAAATCCTCCTGGGACAATTTTCCCCAGTGGACAAACACTGGGAAGCCCGTTTCCTGGGCTTTCAAAAGCCTGTGGTCCGCAACACTGTTTCTTGACCTCGGGGCCTTGCATCCCTGTGGTTACACTGAGGGTGAAAACCTTTTTGGGGAAGTAGAACAGGGTTAAGGGAAGATAAATGGTGATGGAAAGAGACTTGACTTTGGATGGGGAATACAATATACAGATGATGTATTATAGTATATAATTTTATTAACTATGTCACCTCAATAAATTCAATAAAAATTAAAAAGAAAAGAGAACCTTTTTGGATCACCCCAGGACGGAATGTACTGCCGTGCCCACAGTGCCGGGAGCTCTAGAGGTTTCTCAGTAATCTCTCCTTTAATTCCCCTGCCTCAGAATTCAGGAGCCCTGGACACGTGGTATAGAGATGCACGTAAGCAGGGTTTATGTTAGTGAGGTCAAGTAGGATTCATATTTGGGCCACCCGGGATCCGTTGGTAGCTCCTAGAACCCTCGGTTGAAAAGGATTCTGAATTGACCTGCTTTCTTGTATATGTGAGCAGTGTTATTTCTTATGTGCTATACAAGTAGTTGAAGGTTAATTAGCAGTAGTAGTAGTTGTTGGTTACTAAATAGTAATGCTACCAGTCTCCTTCAGACAAATAGTAAAAAAAAAAAAAGTAAAAAAAAAAGGACTCTGAGATAGACTCTCCATGCGCACAGCGCAGGGAGAGTCAAGGGGCACGTGTGCTGCAGTCTGTCCACTGTGTGGACGTGTCCATGAACACAAGAACCTAAAGGACTAATAAGGGGAAACAAAGGCAGCTTTCCTTGTGGCGGGGAGGACAATCCAAGAATGGATGTCCTTGAGGAGGCCTGTCAATCTCTCTGGCCTTCAGTTTCAAACCCCCATGTGTAACCATGGGGCTAAACGTAACTCCGAAGGTTCCTCCAGCCCTGGTCTGCCAGGACCCTTCCTGGTTCTGGTTCAGAGAGGATCCCCACCCTTCAGGGTGATGGAATCTGACCATGGCTTTGCTCCCTCGGGTTCAGGCCTTGATACACTTGGTGACAGGACCCTGGACTGAGTGACTGCCTAAGTAAGGGTTTTCTGGTGATCTCACAGCCCACATCAGATTTTAGATTTGGAGCTATTCTGTCAAGGAACAAGTGGTATTTGGTGCCGCACCTGTTTGACGTGACAGTGCGAGGTTTAGACGAGGAAACGGAACATTTCCGTGAGCTCTCCACTGCCACAAAGTTTGAACCGTCGGCCTGGAACCTGTAAGGAACTTATTTTAAAATTGAGGGTTGGCGATGTGCTCGTCCAGGTGCTGTGCCTAGACCCAAAGTCATCTTAAGAGCCTGGAAAGGGAAGTGTTTTTGCCCTTGGTGACCTTGGTTGTAGATGTGTATGAGGACAACAGTCTAGATTCTCAAGCATTGAAGGCAAGGTGGTTCCCCGCTCTGTTCAGCTGCTGCTGCTGCTTCTTAAGATTTCGTTTATTTTTAGAGAGAGGGGAAGGGAGGGAGCAAGAGAAGGAGAGAAACACTGATGTGTGAGAGAAACATCGATTGGTTGCCTTCTCGCATGCCCCCCTTCTGGGGATTTGGTCCACAACCCGGGCATGTGCCCTGGTTGGGAATTGAACCAGCAAACTTTTGGTTTGCAGGATGATGCCCAACTTACTGAGCCAAACCAGTCAGGGCTCAGCTTCTTAACTAGTAGTTGAACCCGTGCTGTATGGGTCAGCCCATGTTTGTTGATGCTGCTTTGCAAGTAACTGTCCCAGGTACAAAAAGGAAGGGTACAGTCCCTGCCCTCATGGAGATGAGGGAGGAAGCAGGGCACCCTCATCCTGAAGGTCTCATTGTAGCATCACGGATGTTTGGGGCATCTGGAGCAGGGATTACTGACCCAAGGGGCTTGAAGAAAAACTTTAAAGAGAGAATGACATTTGGTTTGAACTTTGAAGGATTGTTGTGTTACCAATTGGTAGCTTTCACAAAGGTTTTTGAGATAGCTTATAAGAATACACACCATAAAAAAGGACCAACATATATAAAATCAGAAATAGAGAAAAAAATGTTAAGGCTGGGGATGAGTTAAAATGTAGACATTCATCACCAGTTCAATTCCCAGTCAGGGCACAGGCCTGGGTTGCAGGCCAGATCCCCAGTAGGGGGCACGTGAGAGGCAACCACACATTGATGTTTCTCTCCCTCTTTCTCCTTCCCTTCCCTTCTCTCTAAAAATAAATAAATAAAAACTTTTAAAAAATGTAGACATTCAGGCCGTATGGCCCAAAATAGTTATGACATCTGTCCCTTTACAAAAGCCAGAGGTGAAATGTGTTCCGTTACATGACATACGTTGTCAGGAAGGAGAAATGCGCAGTGGTTCCTGAGTGTAAGCCGTTTTCCTTGGTACCTCACTCTTACGTGAGAGCTTCAGGGGGGTAGGTGGAGGTAGTAGTTAATGAGTGAATCTATAAACCAGCATTTCTCCAACTATAATCCAGGGACCCACATTAAAATTACCCAGAATGCTTGGTGTTAAAATGCAGAGTCCTAGCCCCCAGCCCAAGGTGTGGTGAGTAGGACCCAGGAGTCTGCAGCCGGCTTCCCCAGGTGATTCTTGCACAGTTTGGGGACATTTACAATAGGTGGGAGGCTCACTGGCATTTTGAAAGCAAAGAGAGTAGCAAATGAGAGTGCCTGGCCTTTGTTGGAAGGTGGGGTGGGGGTTTATAATGGGGGAGAGAGCAGGGCACAAGCAAGACCAGTTCCACTGAGATCGGTGGCCCATTGCTAGCCAGGTTGTTTCCAGGTCATATTTTGGAAGACCTACAAAGTGTGGCAGTTTGGGCACATGGCAGGGCGACTCCTGAGCAGAGTTGGTTGGAGAGCAGCTGGCCCCACTGTGCCCAATTTGTCCAGCTTGCCCTTGCCACCTGGGCTGTGTTCCGTAGACTTCCTCTGACAGGTGCCCTTTTTTTCAGTATTTTTGAAGCCTTGGAGAGTTAGATTTTAACACTCAGTGAGAAATGGTTAATGCGAGATTCGAGAAGACCCTCCCGGTAGTTCTCTGTCTCCATGCTCTTCCATCAGGATTTCTCCAGCTTTACCACAGTCCCCTTTGTTGGTTGCTTCAGTGGCAGGGGAGCAGGGAGAAGAGCTGTGCGCCATCCACCCAGCTAAGATTGGTTGGCATACTCTGGGTCCATGGCAGCTAAGTGGACACTCACAATTCTGTGAGCTGAGCCCCTGGAGAGGAGCTGAGAGGTGCAGTTCAGGCAGCTGCATCTCTGCACAGCTTTCCTTGACTTTCTTCCCTGGCCCTAGAGTTGACTCCGCTTTTTTTGTGTCATGTCAGTGGTTCTCACCACTGTCACCCCCACCATCTTGTCTGCTTTGCTGGTCTTCCCCACCCCCCACCAAGAACAAAGGCCTCCTCTTAACTCAAGCTTGTTGCTGCATGCCTGGTATCACTGGCACATGGTATGACTGACTAACTGGTGCATGTTTGGATGGATGTGGTGCTATGAGTACTTGAGGTGGGGAAAGAGTGAGAACTAGTCTTGAGTGGTCTAAGAAGGCTTCCTAGGGGTCGTGATGTTTGAGCCAAGGCCAGGCAGCTGTTGGATTGGTTATGACTAAGTCCTTGGAGAACTCTGGAGAGCTTCTGTTCCCCGAAGGCCCAGAGAGGTTTAGGATGAGCCCCTGTGCAGTAGATGGTGCTTGGAGGGGGGCCATGGATGTGCAGTAGAGGGGCCATGGAGGGTACCATGAATTCATGTGACCACTGCAAATTGCTGTCATTCCCAAGCCTGGGGATTTGGTAGTGTCTGGCTCAGCTTCCAGTGCATATCTAGCTCTTGGAAGATGGGTGCAGAGAGAAACGGCCCACACACAGTGCCCATGGAACAACACTATGGTTGGGGAGGAGAGAGCTCAAAGAGGGGCTGTGCCATGTACTGTCAGGACTGAGGCCTGGCCAAGGAAGACATTCCAGCTGGGAGCTTTCAGAGCACAAAGCTCACAGTTCCCAAATGTTTGAATTCACTGCTCAGGAAAATTTTTTTAAGAACTGAGGGGCTTGACCCATGGCTTCCAATCCAGCACCAAAATTTTAAATCAATCAAGCAAGCAAGCAAGCAATCCAGCACCAAAATCAATTGTAATTATTTCATAAAAAGAAAGGACATCTTAATATTTAAAGAGTAAGAAGGTCTCAGTCTTAGAGGAAAGGACATTCTGATACATTGGTTACATTTAGCTAATGAACCACCTACACTCCCCTAACTGTTGCTGTTTTGTCCAGGCTGGTGAAACATTGTCACTACCCAGCGTCTGGCCAAGGTTTGTGTCTGGAGCACTGGGTGTCAGTTGGCAAGCAGTGACTCAATGTTCCAGCCTGTTTTGCTGAGGCTAGAGGATTCAGCTAGTCTAGCTATCAAGAAAGCGAGGCAGGGAGTCTGTGCTGGGTTGGCTGTAGATTAGCAGGGCTTTTCATGGAGGATTGTGTGTGTATTTGGGTTTGCCGTGCCGAGCAAGGGAGCAGTGGAATTTGTCTGAGTTGAGCCTCACACATTGAAGTTATTGAGTGACTTACACGCAAGGCCATGACCTGGGCTCCCAGCTGAGAGGCCCACGTGGCAGGGCTTTAGCTGGGGGAGTGAAGGACAGGCTCACATCTGCTCATCTGCTTACGTAACCCTGCTTCCCAGCTCCCAGAGCCAAGAAAACACACAAGCCAGCCCAGCGGGGCTGAGGCCCTGTGGTAGCATACGCCATGTGCCTCACAGCAAGGGAGCCTTGGCTTAGCCTGAGGACTGTCACAAAGCCTTCCGTTTTTTGCTTTTTCCCAGAAGCCTCAAGCAGTGGCTGTGAGACCTGGTAGCAGCTCTGCAAGGTTCCGGGCAGAGCTGGTCACTCCCCTTCTGGAGTCTGAGCTCTGTGGATTTTCTCACTGGGACTGGGCCAGGCAGACAGCAGAGGGCAATCCCTGCAGCATGGCAGGAGATTTGCAGGGCACTCAGGGAGGCCACCTGGCTGGCACTGGATCCAAGGAGGCATTCTGCTCCAGGTCTGGAGCTGCCATTGACTGCTAGGTGCTACCCACTCTCAGAGGTGTGATCTGTAGGATTCTCAGAGCTGTGGAGGCTTCACAGAGAGAAGGTGGGGAAGGAATTGCCAGATCGGGCAGGTGAGGCAGGATCCAGGCATCAATGTGCTCTTAATGTGCTGGAAACATGATAGGGGTTGTGAGGGGCACAAAGAGAAGCAGGTGGGTGAGAAGAGAGGCTGTTCAATGATAAGGCTCCACACGAGCCATTGGAGGAGCCCATGGGGGTGGTGGCAGATAAGAGTTTTTCTGGAGCAGGTTGAATTCCAGTCCTTGCAATTTGTAAATGGGAAACCAGTATGTTGAAAGCAGATGGTGCTTGCTGAAAGATAGATCATCCAGCAACACACTGTTGAAGCTGAACCAGGGCCCAGGCATCCTTTCTTCTGTCCAAGAAACCCAAGACCACCTTTCTGGAACTCCTGAAAGGGGCACCACTAAGATGGGCCTGCAGGTGTGTGCTTCAGGCAGCTAGGCAGCGCAAGTATGAATTCCTGTCTTCTGGGCTGGTTTCAGAAAGTGTGAGCAAGTGTAGG